AGCTGCACAGGAGCAATGATGGGCAGTTCTGAATATTGCCAGCAGTACATTTTCTCAATAAAAATACATCGGTAAGCCGGCCCAGGTTCAACGCCCAGGCTAATAAGCAAGGGGGTGGAGGGGGGCGGGGAAGAAAGAGCTGCATCTATCTTTTTGCCGTGGTCTGGAAGAAATGTATAGTGGCTAGTGAAGCAAACAAGCAACAGACAAAATGTTCTGGTGGCTCAGCTAAGAACGGGGACTGTTAACGGATGAATCACAAGGGGAAGAATTTGCAAACAGCGGTGAGAGTTCCAGTCCCTGGGCAGGGAGTTCGCAGGACACAGTCGTCCCGTCATGCAGTGGAAGGCAGGACCTGGTGTTTATCAGATGGGAAGACGCATTCATCTGGGGCAGGTTAGCAAACCGCACCGGCCCTGGTTCCCTTGCCAGACGTTCAGCCTTAGATAAGGCGAAGGACTCGGAGGGGCTTCTGTAAAGTTTGCATCGGATTTCTGCATCTGAGAATGCAGGATCGGCACGGACTCAAGGCTGCGCCAGGGACGGACACCGATTCTCTGTCCGCTAACACAAGTGTAAACAAGCAAGGCTGGCCTTGAGGACGAGGCTGGCCCAAGGGGAGAGGGGCCAGGCAGAAAATCCAGGCGGTAGTGCTTCCAGATTTGCACAGTACCTGACGCAGGGCCCACGCAACAGCCAGGGATGTTGCCAAGGAGGGGGTCCAAAAGTCAAGTTGGCAGCCTCAGCCATGCAATCAAGGCCATGGCCATCGAGCCATGCCCCTTTTTTATGTGTCAATGTGGTTGAGGCTGCCATCTTGACTTTTTTGACCCCCTGCAGACATTCCAGTCACCAGCAGTGTTCATATTGTTTTGTCACTGCTGCTGTGGGGTCAACGGGCACGGCCTTTTCAGCGTAAAGTACCCCAGAGTTGGATCTGTGTGCTGCATGTACCTACGATTAACCTAACCATGGTTTTTCAGCTATCCAGGTTTAGGGACTTGCTTGACACAGTGCCATAAACTAACCATGCAGGTGGATGTCCACAACTTGCAGGGTGGACAAGTGTGGCTGCCTAGTTTGTAGCTGATTGCAAGACTACAAAAATGTCCAGCACCTAAGGAATCACCAAGCTCAATTTCAGGCTGATTTTCCATTTAGGGCCAGAAGGCTCGATGTCCCTAAGGGAGAACCCAAAGGCAATCTCACTGAAGCAAAGCCATTCTGGAATCAGAGGGGAACTTCTGCGAACTCTTGGTAGCAATCCGTGAAATTAGAGGCTCAATAGCCCCTCTTTGAATTAGGCTCAGAAACAGACTGGTACAAGGCAATTCTGGCCCTAAATTGAACATTAGCCTGAAATTGAGCTTGGTGATTCCTTAGGTGCTGGACATTTTTGTAGTCTTGCAACCAGCTCTCATTTTCTCACAAACTATAACATCTGGGCTGCGCTGCTTTGCAGCTGGTGTAGGTTCTGGATGACCAGCTGAGGCAGCCCCACATTAGGAATCCTGCAATCGTCCAGAATCTGCACTTGAGTTATGGTGGCCAAATCTGGCAATCCCAGAAAAAGCTGAATTCTGATATCCTGGCCAAATTCTGTAAAAACAGATCCTCTTCATTGCTCCTCCCTGCTCCTCCCCAAGCAGGACAGAGCCCTCCACGCTGGCCCTTGATTCATAAAACGCTTGACCCAAGAAATCTATTCTGGCCGTCTCTTCTGAGGATCCGATTCACCTTTCGATTGTCTTTTGTCTCTCGCTCCTTTTGAGAGGCTGACTTCAAAGTTCCCTTCAGAGCCACTTTAAAATACTCGAGACACGTAAACAGAGAACAAAAGGCAATGCGGAGACAGAAGCAACAGGGGATCAATATTCAGTTAAATATCTTGACCTCCAGGACAATGTCTGAAAAGGGCCTCCAAAGATGCAAAATTGAGGAGGCGAAATCTTTCACTGCTTAATCTTCTCTTGGGGCAAAGGGAACGCCAAGTATTGCTGCCAGGGGAAAACGGTCAAGTGGTTTACATTCGCTCCTCTTAAAGCCAGCCAGGCTGCTTAATCGCCCAAACGTTTTGCCAGGATGGATATTTCGACCGGTTAGTGCCGGTCGATCCTGATGCTCGAACTGTCAGTGGCCCAGAACGGCGTGAATTCAGCAGAGATTATTTGGAAATGAGATGTGGGTTGGGTGTAGGTATATATACTGGAACCACTGGTGCTCCAGCAGCTGGAAGACAGATTATGGAAGCATTTAGGCACCACGTACAGGTTAACGTGGACTCCGCAGAAGACCCTAACCACAGTTCTATTGAAGGGAGAAGCAAATATATGGATTTGCCGCTCTCCTGGGGGGAAAAAAACAGCCCCCTTAATTATTTTACTCCTCAGTGTATGGTACGAACCCTAAAAACGGGTTAACCAGGTTAGTTTGTGTTGAGTGGCATAGAAAGATGGCTTTACAGGCAGTAAGAGATGAGCGGGGATTTGGGACGTGAGGTTCTGATATAACTTAGCGGGGCAGTTTGCTGCCTGAATCCTGTAGAGCAGGGTACCTCAACCCTGGCCACTTAAGACGGGTGGACTTCAATTCCCAGAATTCCCCAGCCAGCAAGGCTGGCTGGGGAA